ATCTCCCCAAAACCCCAAAACCCCAAAACCCCATGAATAAGATCAATTATTGGTATTATATATTAATTTTTAAGCCATAAATGAACACCCTTTCTAAAAAGGTATTTCAAGCTCAAAAAAGAGTTTTAGCCTACAAAACTATGCCTCTTTCGCCCTCCATCTGGTCGATGAGGACCTTCTGAGCTACATTTGGAAGGAGAGATATCAAAGTAAAGCCTATCATGGCTACCAAAGATGAAGAATTAGCTGCTGATCTAGACAATTATCTCACAAATTTACACTCTATTCGTGATCTCCATAAGAAAGTTCGGCATTTTACACACCCAAAAGGCTTCATGCTCTACAGAAAGAACCAGATGAATGCATCCCAGGACTCGTCACAGGAGCTGAACTCAAGGAAGATTAGAAATCATATCATCTATAACTCCTTAGTTATTGAAAAAGGAACTCCAGAGACATTCGGTTTAAAGAGCTCAGAAATGGCATCTAAGTTGTTTGATTCAAGCCTGAAGATCATTAAGAGCTCTAACTCGCCATTGTTTGAGAATGACAAGATCCATTGTTTGTACCAGCTCAGCCTTATTACTCAGACTCCTAAACAGAAAAGCTTGCTGAAGCAAACAGCAGAAGAGGTTTTATATGAGACCCAGCTTAATGATCTTAATAATGAAGCAGCAATTGATTCTTTTCTATTAGTCACTCATTCAGGGCTTCATCTTGAACACAAGAGACTTTATAATGATATATTACAGCAAATGTGTAACAAAGGAAGAATTTATAGAATTGATGAAATCCGTAAAGCAGTCGTAATCTTGAATCAGGCTCCAATACTTCTTAAAGATGAAGCATTGAGGTATTATATTCCAAAACTATTCCAAAATAACTTGAGTCCTTTATTGCCAAAGACTGATATTAGGACCTTCCATCAGATATCAATCCTTCTGAAAAACTACAGGTCCGTGATTCCGAAGCAAGAACACACCAAGTTGGCAAAAGTTGGGATCAAAAGAATAAATAGGATAGCCCAAGGCGCTGAAAGGCAGAATAATCCTGAAAGAGATGAGCTTGAAGACAGCCCATTTTTGAGCCTTCTAAAGATGCTGGAGAGCTATTCATGTATTAAAGACTTCTCTGAAGCCCAAATCGAGAGAATCTGTTACCAGACACAGAAAATAATTGAGACAAAGGTAAATTTTTATAGTGAAATCTAGGCTCTGGATGTCTCTTTCACTTTCCTATTGAAAGTCTTAGAGAGACTCAACGCATTCACTGGGTATAATGAAGCATCAGCAAATCTCTATGAGTTTCTTGTCCAGTCCATTGGAGAATCAATGGGAGATCAGTCTTTCGTTAACTCAAAAACACTCAAGAAATTAGTAAGGATTATAAAATAACATATAAAGGCTGAATTCATCAAAATTTTGGAAGAAAATCAGCTTCTTGAAAAGGCATTCACTGACCCAGAAGAGAAGTATAGTCTTAGCATAACATACAGGAAAACACAGGAAGAGTTAGAAAACACTCCTGAAATAAAGGAGTTTGACAAAAGACTTCAATATGTTATCTCGAGAAGTCTCCAGGAAGCCTCTCTGGCAGATCTCCATTGGTTCTTTCTGCAGGTATCCTCCCTAGAATATTTCTTTAGAGCACTTACAGAGTAGACTCCATTCTTATAGCAGGAAAGCTAGAGCTACTAAACCAAAAATGGGCCAACAGTCGGTCAATAAACGTCTCTTGTAAATGGTTCGATATCTTAGAGAAGAGAAAGAGGTTCCTTCAAGGTATTTACCAACTTATTTCTGTTTAGGCCAACACGAAATTACTAAAGAAATTTTCTCTGAGATCAGACAGATAGATCGAGACCAGAAATTAATAATCCAAAGCACAAGTATTGCTATCAACTCCAAGCTAGAATCTACTTCTTCAGGGTGAGGGTTAAGGGTTACTTATAGGGATGGAAAGTCTGATTTATACAACCTGAACCACTGGATAAAGATCCTGAACTTGGATATTAAGCCTTACCATAATGAAATTGAGACAGGCTTGATGTACAGTCTTGAGATAAATTTGTTCAAAACTCTTAAAAGATATAAAACTGATTTAGAACTAGTAAAGCTGATTGTAAAGCACAGAGACCAAGAAGGAGGACTTAAAGATTTCTATCCAACCCTGCCAGGCCTGAATATAGACCTTAGTATCTTCATGAAGAGGGTTAAAAAAGGAAAATATTCACCTAATCAAAAGAATAACTTGTTGGCGCTAATTTCTTAGACAATCTGTTGGCAATATCTCTTAAGATTTCAATTGAGAATCTGGATCTCGGGGTTTTGGGGTTTTGGGGTTTTGGGG